TTTCAGCTGAGGTGAAATAAATTGTAAAAAGATGCAGCGCAGGCAGGTAAAGTGTGTCTGTGTCTTATTTTCGGTGTCATTCCTCTGCAGGAATAGATTAAGCAAGAGGATGAGAAGGAGGGGGATGTAGAAAAGAAAGGAAAGGTGAGATGGAGGTTATCCATGGTTGTAGATGTAATGGTCATTATTATAAAGTCAATGTTTCGATCTCCCACAACAGCAATTTTCTCCTGGAGTTATCCCCTGTGTCCTTGAATAAGACACTGAATCCTGCTCGCTCGCTGTTACTGTCACCGTAATGCCAGCTACATGCCTTAAATGTAAGATGGACAAAGATAGACGATAGACAGAAATGACAAGTTGCCAATAACACAGCTGGCCAGCTTCAATATTAAAAGCTAGACCTCTTCAACAACACAATCTGGCACGGAGAGAAAGTATTTAGCATGGAGCTCAAGGGGAATGCAAATACTGTCCTGTCCACTCATCATGGCCCGGCAACATGGCCAAGTAATATCAGAAAACAAGGTCCTGCAGTTGCATGATTTAGGAGGGAGGATCCGCCAATCAGGACAAAACCAAGCTTTTAATTTTCGGAGTTGTTGGCAACATCAAAGTAGCATCTTGGACTCTTTGATGAAAGGATTTTGATTAGGACCCAGAAAGCCAGGCCTGCAGTAATCCCACAGTCAGGAAAGAGATTGGTGCTGCCTTCTCCAATTTAACCAGACAGTTAGACTCTCAGCTCCGGTTTTATGGCTTATTTTGAAAAAGTTTTTCAACTTTCCAGGAGTTGATCCCAAAGGTTTGTTTCCTCGTAATGTTGCAACATGAAATTTGTTGGTGTCGAAACAACAAAAAGTAAAATGGTTGTATTATTTATCAATTTACATCTGTGTGTTCCCAGTCTGTTTGTTTTATCCTCACCCTTGGGGGGGAGGCAGTTAGCTCAGCCTTAGGCCAGACACCATTTTTATGGTAGACAGCCCATCAGGGTGAGTGACAGGTGTGTGAGGGGGAAGTGCGGGATGGGTTGTATAGTTCCTGCCCTGAGACAAGACTGTTTCCACAACCTATTCGACAAACAAGAACACCGATATTGGAGGATGCCAAATTACATTGAGTTATGGTACTCTTGAACATTCAATGCTAACATTTTTTATGGTTGGGGAATAAAAACAATTGATTAAAGACACTCCACCAAGTAGAATTTAACTGACAAAGAATCACTACCAATAATTAACTAAGAATTGATTGCTGAGTTCAATCAATTACTTGGAAAAACACCCAATGCCATCTGATTCTGTTTTAAAAGATGTTAGAATCACGTACCTAAACACAAAGTAGCTTTAAGGATAAAAAAGGTCATCGCTATAGTTTTTTTCAAAAGTCTGACACAGAAAAATACTCCCTATTTTTGACATCACCTGAAAGGAGATAAGGAGAGAGAGTAGTTGATTAATTTCCTGAACCTTTGGAGGAGCATGTTTACCTTCAATCTGAAAACCATATAAGTGGTTTTGCCCTTTATCTTTATGCTGTTAAAGTGGCAGTAAAAGAAACAACCAGAGGAAGAAAGAGATGAAACAAACAAACAAGACAACAGATCTTTAATGGCCTAATCATTCCTATGCACTGATTAGAAATATTTACTATATATATGGAGACCATGACATATTTTGACATTCACGGCTGTCAAGAAGAATCGAGTTGAGTTTAATGCACAAGTAAAAGAGAATGAGACAAGGACGCGACAACAGGCTGAAAGAGAAATCTGAGACACAGCGAGTCAGAGAAACTGAAAGACAAGAGTCAGCAGAGAGAAAGAGAGATGCAGAGATTGTTTCCCATTCATCCAATCTCGCAGACAACAGAGTTACAGACACCGCGACAGACGAGGGAGACGGGGAAAGAAGAAGAGAAAGCGAGGCAAAGCGAGGAGGATCTTGTTCGGCAGAGAGATCACAGCAATACAGATCTATTTACAGATTAGTAATGGTTCTGACTGTGTGTGTGTCTGTGTGTGTGTGTGTGTGTGTGTGTAATTGTGAGTGTGACTGTGTTCTGCTAGTTTCTCCCCCCCCCCCCACCACACACACACACACACACAGACACACACCTTTGCCTGGTTATCCTTACATCCCCTGAGCAGAAAGCAACATATTGCCACTTTGCAGTTTGTCACGGATTGGCTTTAATAGTGGTGTGTGTCATTATTGCAGGTGTTTTTGCACCATCTATAGGCCTGGGTATGAATATCTGGCATTCATTTTTATTGTAAGCATTTTAGGGATTAAGGCACACACAGTCATTGGAATCACAGAATAATCTGAAACAAGTAAATCTACAAAATGACATGCATGAATATGTTGCGGTAGTAAATAAAATGAAGCAATGAGTAACATTCTGTCTGTATGCCTCCTCTGCCTCTTCAATCTCAATCTGCTCCTCACACCGGGCAATTTAAAGTCCTTTTTTTCCCCTCAAGAATAAGGGAATCTCTGTGCATCAGCCAGCTTGGAGCACAAAAACAAAATCCCAAATAGCAATACAGGATCTTGAGGGATTAGTTCTGGAGAACACAACAAGGTACAGCTATAGAAAACGTCAGAGAAAACCATTAGAAAAAGCATAGAACACTTGATGGCTCCTTCATGTAATGTATACAGCCAGGAGCTTGTTCATAATGTCCTCTCTTCTTGGGGATGCGGATGTTTTCAATACCCGAAAAATTGCTGTAGTTTGAGCCATGATTTGCATAAAATAATGGTTTCGTGGTCTAAATAACTGTTGTATGTGCTGCTATTCTTGCAAACAAACACATGTCACCAAGCACGTGCTGATTTTGAACACTTCCATATATTATGATGTTTGATTAAGAAGTTCATTCACTCAGCCATATGTGTTTCCAGCTTGTATTTGTCTCCGACAAAGGACTCCAAGCTCTATGCTGGCGGTCATATGAAATGATGAAAAAAGTTCAAATAGACACACATAATAATAAGTATCAAATATCGAGAGTGATCACATTATGTTGACATATGTGTATTCCTGCATGTTTATGCTGCAAATCACAGTATTAATCAGTTTCTCTCGACATGACCAGATAGTAAATCTGCTGTCAGCGTGTGGAGCATGACAGTAATCGCCTCGGGTGGACTCAAATTATTAATACATTCAAAATGAATTCCTTACTCTCACGACAAAATTGATAAATAATTTCTCCACATGCAACAATAAAACTGAGTGACTCCTTCAGTGACTCGAGAGGGCTCAGCTATAAGAGGACATTTTGACGACCCTTGTGGGGGGGGGACATTGAGTCTTTTTCAGAAGGAAAGAGACACAGTAAAACAAAACAGAAATTAATGCTAAATATAGAGTTAGACACAAACACACAGGGTATCTGAGGCTGCATCATCTCACCAGAGACGTGTTGTGTGTTGTTCAGTTGGGGCTTTCATTAGCCTTCATCCTCTGCCTTGCTGGCTCCAGGGTGTGCCGCTGAGCCGGCTGCGTCCCCAGTTTGGTCGTCCTGCCTGCATGCGTCTCAAGGCGCGGCGCTTCCTCTCTATCGCAGTCAAGAAGAGCTGAAACACCTCAAGGGGGAACGAGCTCCTCAGCCCTTTTATTTCTTGTCAATCAGCACGCTATGAGCTTTCCTAGGTACTTATACCGCACAACTTCCACTCCTTCACCCTAAATGGTGACAGGTGTTTTTAGCATACTTCCCTATATTTGCATTTCAGTGGTAAGATAAGTGGAACCAGGAAGCAGAGACAGAAATAGCTCCAGGCTGCACTTTATAAATGAAAGAAAAATCTATTCTACATGTATATTACAGTTTAAAACACTTAGATCAAAGGAGATTGGAGCATTTATAGCACAATTGGTTGTACAGATTTATAATACATAAAGGGCTGAGCACTCGTGAGGATGCTGTAAAGATTGTAAAGCCCCTCAGGACAAATTTGTGATTTCTTATATTGGGCTTTGTAAATGACATGCTCCCCAGATGAATCCAAGCAGCATGCAATAGACTCAACAGGGACTGCAGTAAACCTCACCTGGGGTATATTTAGGAGAACGTACGTGATGCACAATACAAGGGATGAAGAAAGAGCTGCTTAATAAACAATTAATACAGCAGGCAAAAGCTCCGTGGCTGCTGATGGATCACAAAACTATTTGATATCTTTATTCATTTCTACAATAAATGTAATGTAGGAGTGATATAAAATCTGAATCTAGGATGAAAAGAAGTTAAAAGACAATGTCCTGCCTTCCCCAGAAAAAACATAACACTGAAAAAGTACAGTCTCTTTTAAATTCGACTTTGCTTCACTGGCATAACCACAAGTTAATATGTGATCCTGATTCCATTCAAATCTTCTTATCCTGCCTCAGTAATGAATAGAGCCTGGATATCTAGATATGTAAAGGATGTAACTACTTTTAGCCATATTGCATCTACAAAAGGAGCCAGTATGACCAGAAAGCTTGTTGAGTGAGATTTTCTCTGAGAATGAATTAAATGTGACCATTTATATGATTTCTACTTGATTGTATAGCTTTGTCACTGCAATGTATTTAACATTGAACAACAATTTGACAATACGCCTGTGGTCAAAGTCAGTGTAAACATACTGAGCATTATACTGAACACAGGCAAAGATTATCAAGTATATAAGAGATACAAAGTTCAGGACAAAGTGCTGACTTTTAAGTGGAAGACTGTATGGGAACTCTGCAATTAGACAATTTCAACCAATTAAATCTGCAGCCGGGATCAAGCTGCTAGAAGCTTTAATCTGCTGCAGTGCTCTATCCAGCAGCTGTCTGACATATGAAGACCGTGAGAAGTTTATTTAATTGTTAGTATTGTTATCTATCAACTGGGTGGGAGTGGGGTTGGGTGACTGAGGCGGTCGCTCTCCTCCCATCGCTGCTCGCCAAGATAAGAGCTGAAAAACCACAAATGTGTTAGAAAACACCCCGAATTCACCCTCAGCGTCAAGGACTCGCACTTGTTCACAATGACGGATTCAAACTTGCTGTAAGTACGACAGCGTTTTCAACTCTCTGTTTCTTCAGTTAGTAAAAATCCCCTTTACAATATACAAGAACATCAGCGTGTGAAAATGTCTTTTAGTGATAAGATGCTGACAGTGGAGGAGGGTCTAAAAGGGAGCAAAATGAAGCAGAAGAAGGAAGAGGCCTGGAAACCACAGGGACCCAGGGATCCATTTGCTATGGTTTGTGTCTTCCTGAGCGTGTGAGTGCATACATGCAGTGATGTATGTGTGCTGGTCTGTGTTTGTTGCAATGTGAATACTCATAAACTCGCCCGTGGATGTCCTGTATGCCCATCACACATGAAACAGGAAAATGTGTCTTTTGAAATCACCGATTTTGGCTGTAGGAATCAATTTGAGTTATGCTGCTGTGTGACGGTCAAACGTCAATCTTCTTGGGAGAGATGATAGTAACTTGTCCTTGCTGGTCTTGTTCTGCCCTAGCTGGACTCTCTTCCAGAAGCCAAGCAGCAGGAGATCCAGAGAGCCCTCCACCTCTTCTCCTTAGGCCCAAGTCTGCCGAAGACCCTGCAGCAGGCCAAATCACACACTTACCGTTTCTGGGACACACAGCCTGTCCCCAGACTGGGTAGGACGTGATATTCCTGTTCCAGCGAATATTTGTTGAAAAACAAAAGCATTTGCTCAAACTTATACTGAAGCAAAAGTTTGACATTTTTAGGATATACCCTTTTTGCTTTCTACAGGAGATTAGATGAGAAGACAGATACCATTCGTCCGTTAAATATAAGGCCATAGCCAGCAGACGGTTAGCTTAGCTTAGCATAAAGACTGGAAACGGGATAAACAGCTAGCCTGGCTCAGTCCAACGGTAAAAAACCCATCTACCAGCACCTCTAAAGCTCATTAATTAACACATTATGTCTTATTTGTTTAATCAGTACAAAACCATGTGAGGAGCCGGGAGTGAGATTGATTTTGTTGTTATGGGATATAATGTACAGGATTATTTCATAGCTCTGAGCAGTTTCCAGGTAGAGACTTCAGGAAGTTACTGTTGTCAGTCAAGAAATAGTTACCCTGGCAGACGTGGGCAGACGTGTGATCATATTCACCCTGGTTGTGCATGTGTGTACGGCACTTGAGGGTATTACACTAAAACATGACACAAAAAAATCATCAAAACATTGCTCGGGATACCTATAACTCCACTGGTGATTACAGCCTCTATGCCACTTAACTCATTTCATGGATTTTAAATAAATGAATAGTAAGAAGAAGAAAAAACCCTATAATCCTATTTAGTATTGTCGTTAAAGAAAACATAACCATAAGTCCATAAGTCATTGGCTATAATTACAACATTGAGAATTAAGTTACCTCATTTAATTCTTTATATTTGCATCCTCAGGTGACAGTTTTGTGACTCATGGCCCAATAGTAGAAGGTGAAGCCAGTGTCCGTGAGGAGCCCTACTCTCTACCTTCAGGTTTCTCCTGGGACACTCTGGACCTGAACAGTCCTACTGTGGTAAGTTACATTCTGTAAGTTACTCTATGTAGTTAGAAACATGCATCCCTTTCAGAGGTAAGGAACGGTGCTTTTATTAGTGTGAATCTAAGGAAATGTTGACTCACATTCTCCACGTTTTCATCTATCATTGCAGTTGAAAGAGCTTTGCACTCTGCTCAACGAGAACTACATGGAAGAGGATGACAACACCATCAGGTGTGAGTTCTCGCTGGAGTATCTGCAATGGTAAGCTTCAAGCATGCGCATTTAGTCACTTTTGGTTCCAGCAAAACTTGCTGAAAACATGTCCCCCTCCGTCTGGCATTAGCGCACTTTAAAACTGCTCTGTACGACTGCAACACATGAATTTGAGCTTCTGAGTTGCACGAAAGGAACGATGGTGTTGAGAGTCTGAAAAGGACGACATCATTTCTCCCAGTCGACTTTCCAGCCTGACCCGCCGACAAACCGTTATCAATTACAAGCCGGCTACTCTAATCGCTTCACTTCACTTTTGCTGCTTTCCTTTGTGATCTGCATAAACGGTATACTTCAGGGAACAAAACAAAAAGAAATGTACTTTGTTATGAATAATTAACATTAGCATTCCAGGAACTGGCACAGGTCTTTGGCCCTGAGGTTAAAGAAAGCTGCTGTATTTATTCAGCTGAGTCATCTCATGCTCAATACTTTTATTAAATTGTCCTTAATCAGAGTTTATTGAACTACCCCTGCATGTACTCACAGAGCCATATTGCAGACAATGTCTCTCTCTTCCTCTTAAGGGCTTTACAACCTCCTAACTGGCTGCCCCAGTGGAACTGTGGCGTGCGAGTACACACCAATAACAAGTTAGTCGGCTTCATTGCCGCTCTTCCTGCAGAGGTCCGCGTGTATGAGACGTGAGTAGCTCATAAATGTATGCAACGATGTGTGTTTGTGTGAACTCTGGTGAGCTGTATTAGCATTCAGAGCACTTGCCGACAAAACTGTAGCAATTTAACTTTCGAGTGTCTCGAAGCAAATGCTCAAAAGACGTGCTCGCCTGCAGGGACAAGCGGATGGCACAGGTCAAACTCCTGTGTGTTCATAAGAAGCTGCGCCTCAAGCGGATGACTCCAGTCCTGATCCGAGAGCTCACCAGACGGGTCAACCAGCAGGGCCTCCACCAGGCTGTCTACACAGCTGGCATAGTGCTGCCCACACCACTAAGTTCCTGCAGGTAGTAGACAGGGTTGATTCACATTTGTTTCAAAGGCAAAGTGAAGCCACAATTAGCACTGTTAAAGCCCCTGAAGAATGTCGATACTGTAATATGAGGGATGGGTTTTGACTTGGACACAAAATGTTCTGCCAAAGTCACGAGAATTCTGGTCATTTGACATGGCAGATTTCTGTTTTTGTCTTTGCTTTGTTTACTTGTTTGAAGCAGCAGATTGCATTTGGAGGAAGGGGAGAAAGGTGACAGGTCACAGTTAATCAAATCTGATCAAACCACACCCGCCCAGTCCTGGTGAAGCAGATGAGCTGAGTTTTTGAGTGTGAAACCCAAAATTGTACTTGGCATTAATGGCTTATTTAGTCAAGAATGTGTCATGTTATGGAGAAATACATTGTCAGGGTCTTTAACACCGTGAAGATTTACATAAAACATTTAACTCACTCTCGTTCCTCTAACTAGCAAACATGCAGTCTTTGTTTTTTAGTATAGGTCTAATGCTGTTTCTCCAAAACAAGTATGTTACAATGGGGAGTACATGTCATGTTTGGTATTTATCTTATGAAGCAACATTCCACCTTCAGTGTCCCTACCAGATAAATAAACTAAATATTTTAGGTACTGGCATCGCCCTCTGAATCCCCGAAAGCTGACAGACGTGAGCTACCCGGGTCTGAGACAGAACACGAATACGAATCTGCAGAGAGCTCTCAAATTCTACCGTCTGCCTGAGGTTAGTTTGTGCTGCCACCTAGAGACTACAACCCATTAGTGCCATTATAGTGTGACATTGACCTGCCATCACACAATCTCTTCAACTGACTGATCAAAAGGGTGCATGCAAAATGTTTAAAGATGCAGGCAATTAACTCTATGGCGCTTACTGAACATGTTTTTTCTTCCTGTCTCTCCCAGGTGACAAAGACTCCAGGTCTGCGCCCTCTGACTGAAGAAGATGTGGTGGGGTTACACTCACTACTGCAGGCAAACCTCCGCAAGTTTCACCTCAGCTCCAGGTTGTCTTTGCAGGAAGTAGAGCACTGGCTGCTACCCAGAGAGAACGTGATTGACACCTATGTAGTAGAGGTCTGGCCTGACAATTTGTGATGTTGATTTAGAGCGGTCCTCACCCTTTTGTGTGCACTTTAAAGCTCATTATGCTGCAGTATAGTTAAGAGTGTGTTCCTTCCCTCACATGCAGGGTGATGCTGGCACACTGACAGACGTGGTGAGTTTCTACGGCGTCTCCTCCAGGGTGCTGAATCACCCAGTCCACACTGGCCTGAGAGCAGCTCATCTCCTTTACGTTGCCGGCACCGCCGCAGACCCAGTCAACCTCATGGAGGACGCACTGGTCTTGGCTAAATCTGTGAGTGCCATTGAAAAAGTGCACAAGGCTTTCCCTCCAAACTACATACGTGCAGTTAAATGATCAATGTACTCAAAATTATCTATAGAATAAAATTTGAAGGGTAATATGTATCTTTTTTGATGAGTAGATTTGATAATAAAATAAATAAATGCTCCATTTCCTCACTGACAGAAAGGTTTTGACGTCTTCTCCGCTCTCGACGTGATGGATAACAAGAGCTTTCTGGATAACCTCAAGTTCAGTGTCATGGACAAGAGTCTTCATTACTACCTGTACAACTGGATTTGTCCTAATATGAGCCCAGACGAGGTAATGAATGCTGTAATACTCTTCCTTCCAAGACATGTCACTGTTATTCTGTGTATTCTAAGCCCAAAGTCGGGGCCTATAATATACATTGGAAAATTCTAATACACACATTGAATCATTGGTCATTCAAGCCGTTAGGGGGGGTAAACTAAAACACATATCTAGAATTACCTCGCCAAAACTTGTTTCGGCCAAAACTGTTTCTATGTGCCCAGATTCATGATATACGTTTCCTTTTTTTGCCACATAATAAAGCAGGTGGAAATTATGTCAATATAGCAGAAAAATCACTCTGACATGTTTGACAGCTGCCAGCAGTAATGGCTGTATGTTTCACAGGTGGGCTTGGTGTTCCCCAACTAACCCAAGAAGTGGTGGAGTGGTGAAGGTGGAGAGACCATAGTGGTTGGCAGCACAGTGGGCATCAAAAGTCATCACCACCAGCATGAATTAAGATTAAAAAAATATATATAAAAATGACAATTTGTAAAACAGCACACTCACAAATCAATGAAAGAAATAAAGACAAATTCCATTTGTAAATACATTCATCATCTGGATGTCAGTTCATTCATTCAGCGTTTCTGCTACAGGAAATGATTGTTTTTGGCATGATGGAGAACTGAGTAACCGTGTGTGTGTGTGTGTGTGTGTGTGTGTCTTTGGGTATTTCAACAGGCATTTTTAACCTCTGGTGACATTAGATGGATTATCGAGTGTATAGCGACATTGTTTTCACAGAAACAAGTTGCTGTTGAGTCCAATATTTATTCATGCAGCATAAAATAAATTAAAACAAAAAATCTCAGAGGTGGAAATCTGTAAACTTTCGGACTTAAAGGTTCATCAATCATATAAAGACAAGAGTCTACAAACCCCACTAGCAGCTCTGTGAGGCTGTACAGAGACACAGTGGTGCTGTGAGCCGCATGCTAACATCAGCAATGTTCAATTAGCAATATAATGGACCATAGTCACCATATTAGCATTAGCATGCTAACACTTGCTGATTATCAAAAAGTACAGCTGAGGGTGATAAATGCTGCCATATGGTGGACTTGTGGGTAAAGATGGTGATTACTTTCGGGCTCCATATCAATCCCAGTTGTTTCGCCAGTATTGGCAGACCCAAACCAAAAAATCGAATGCTCATGTCCACCCTGAACCCTTTCTTTTTGCAAACTAACTCCAAATTACTTATGACGGACAGCACAGCACATTCAAAAAAAGGTATAGGTTACCATGACCAAGGTATTGTGTGAGGATTTATATTTTATTTTATAAGATTACGTGTTTGTTCCTTATCTGGATGTCAGAAATCAGAAATCAGAACGGGTTTATTGACAAGTACATGAAACAATATTTGTAATCAATTATCAAGAGGGGTGGAAGAAGTGTTAGAAGTAGCAGGAGCAGGAGGATCCTCCCAGCATAAGGCCCCAATGTCCCTAAATCCAAGTTTTAGACCATGCAACATCCCCTGATAACTATCTATAACCACGAGGTGCACACAATGTCTAATTATGAACAGCAGGGTGCACTGCAACATTAACATTACAGTGAGCCTTTTATTGCGAGCAACTATTTGGGAATGCAGAGGCAGACATCATCTACTTCGCATTTTATTGTTGAATGCGTAAGAAAAACAGGGTTTTTTTTCTCATCGATGCATTTTGTTTGAGAAATATTGGATAGTTTTTTCTTTTTGGGCCCCTCCCAATGAAGCAAATGAAATAATCTGGCAAATTGAGAAGAGAATAAATCTTAAATCACTTTTATATGGGCTGCAAGCTAATCAAGTACACACTGCATCAATTTTAGGGTCACAAACCAAAAGTTCTGCTTTTTTAATCTTTTTCAACTAATTATATTTTAAAGCATATTTTTGTTTTAGGTTTAAAGTAGCTGAAGCAATAAATACTTATTGTAAAAATGTGTCTTGGGTGAAGGCAATTTGTCAGTGGTCACCTTCCACTTAAAAACACGTACAAACGTTGCAAACAAGTCATAATTTGGAGCCTGCATTTACCAGGGGTACGTGAACGCATCACGGTGATGAGTTTGGGCCAATCAGAGGCGAGAAGGCATTTTGAGTTTGAAGTAAGTTGACCGGACCTGACAGCGACCTTCACTGCCGCCTCTGCACCCTGCCCGGGCAGGACAGAGCCACGTCTCCCCTTAGCTTCGGTGCAGGATGAGCAGAGGAAGCCAAACTGTTTCATAAAGAAGAAAAGTTTTTTTCCTCTACTTTTTCCTTTCATCTGCGTCGAGGACTCGCTCTTGTCGGCTGAACGTCAGTGCAGTAACGTGCTGAACTGTTTAACATTAGCATTGTAGCGTCAACGTGCAGCAGTGTGGTGTTTTGATTGAACAGCTGTCTTTTTCGAGGGTCCCACAGACATATCTCCGTGGATGTCGCGTGTGTTGACGCCCGAGCAGACCCCCGTAAAGGACCGCAGGTATGTTACTCACAGCATAAAGTGGCAGTTTGTGTTGTAACATTGTAACGAGTGTGTTGCTTGCTACCGAGGCACTACCACAGCTTCCTCTAACCGATGTTAAGTCATTTACAGCTGTTTCAGGAAATACACGGATGTCACATATTACGTTACGAAATGCTACATTCAAGGATATGATGCGTTATGTTGTCACACTCACACTCCCAACAGCTGCCATTGCGTTTGTCAGTGTAGGTTCCTTCCTTCATCGACAAATAGACGCTGGAGGGAATGCTTTTTTTTAAACGCATTGCTTTTTAATATTGCACTTGAAATACCCATACTTTCTATTTCTATACCGTTATGTTAAGGCGTGTGCATTACTGCATCTAAGAGAACAACGCCTCATATCAGTCCATTGAATTGCCTTTAGGGTTGAGTTCTGCAAAACCACCTGTGAAGACCACGCGATAAGAGAGCGTGAGAGCTGAAACTGTCTGAACTCTTCTGTGGTGACCAGGCTGACAGTATACTGTCACTACGAACTAGATTATGTAACTTGGGACAACATGGTTTGGAATCAAAGTTTGTTTTGTTCCTTGAATGGTGAATAGAAGGAAACCAATTGAAGCTTCGTATCGATGGCTATGGTGTTTGAAGCTTGCCAGGTTGTAATTTTCCCTCTGTGTGGCATCTCAGTGGCTTGTGTCACAACAGGTTTACCGAGACCTTCCTCAGCCAGCTGGTGTTGAGCAAGAGCAAGAAAGAAAATGAATGCATGCCTCGATAAGAGACAGTGAGGCACAGAGCAAGACTGCACATGCTTGCTGTACTTTTTTTTTTTTTTTAAACTAATTAATAGCATGCTGCTTAGTGTTACTGATGCTGTGTTGAGAGAAAAAAAAAAAGCAAGTTGATAACCAGCCTGTGCATACTTTTAACGCCTGGTGCAAAAACTTGTCCGAGCAGGGAGTGGCCCTTGTCGTGCTTGCATCATTCTGCTGCTCTTTACCTGCCTCCTCAGTGGACCGTGTAAAGACCCCAAACAAAGAGACAGATCCTCCATTGTTGTTCAGCAGAAGTGTGTGTGTGTTATGTGGTTGTGGTTTAGTTTTAGCATTCACCTGAACGCCTCGTGTCAGGCGTTGCATTGCCCCTTGCAGGGATCTTGTTGCTCAATGGAAAGAGGGCTTTTGGAGGGGTGGATGAGGGTTCCTGCTGCAGCGACTTGTCTTGTTCTACGCTGAAACATGAACTTGTTATTCTTTAGTTTTTTTCTTTAGAACAAGTCTTCAAGAGTGAAACTATCCACGTTCAATTCCCGAATAATAAGATGATAATAAGAGCTATAGCGGGGAATGCATGGGTTTGAATGATCGTGTTGTTGGTTTTTTTTTGGCTTCTCTTGAAGCTTCAGATCAGTTAATGGCCTCTCACTGGGCTTTTATTTTGTAGGTTCCTGCTGCTGTTTTGCCAACCTTCAGTCATGAAGGTGCGCGTTCCAGATTTCTGTCCGGTGCACTGAGTGAGTGTGCCTCCCACAGAGGGTTGCTTAGCTGAAAAGTAATTGAAGGAATGTAAACAACCCTCTTGTTAAATTAGGTTTGTGAATTAGATTTAAATGGCTAATTAAGGTTTTTTAACAAGGATTGAAGAGGGGAAAGACACAAAATAGTACACTTGTGCGCCCAGATCGCCTCAGTTTAGTACAAAATGAGCAAGGTTTTACTTTTATATCTATTTTGGACCGGCAGTGTGATGCTTTGATTGCTGTCCTATACGTATAAAAGAATGTTTTGTTAGTTTATTAAAACTTCTCATATCATACATTTCTGCACATGCAACTGTTGCTACAGAACCAAAACAACCAGACACGAGAGCTGTTATCTTCCAACAGACACTTAACATTAGTCATTCTCACCTCGTCACTGTCAACAACCATTGAACACCAAGTGTCCACAGCTGTCATTACAGATTATAATTTTACAGTTTTTAATATACATATCATCTGTCACCGTCAATATAAATCCTACACACTAGTGTCTATACAGTATAGAGGCATCATAACATGTGCATACTGTACATAATCGTCCATTCAGTGTTTTTTTTTACAACTTACAGAACACTTGAGACATTACATTTTTTTTAAATTTTATTGTTGTTCATTGGTGCTTTTTTGTATATACTATATAAATTCTTGTCACTACTTGTTCATAGCAATCCTGTCTATTCTTTACCTTTTATCAGTCCAACATTGTTGTCCTTGTCCCTGGCTGTTCATTCTATTTCTGTTTAAATACAATGACAGAGATGCAAAAACACAGAGTCAAATTCAAACAGAGAAGCGAAGGAGCACAAGGCTTCTCCGTGTTTTATTTTGCATTTACGTTTGTGGTCCTACGTTTTTTGTTTTCATAATAAAACCACTCGGGAACAGTGGGCCTTATTTAAAAGCTCTCCATAAATAACGAAGATGAACTTTTTGAAGTAGCTCTTGTTTCACATGGTCAGTAAGATAGTATTTGAACTGAGCATTTTGAGTCTTATGCCTCCCCTACATGTGCTACTCAACAGTTAAATAACAGGCAGCAGATGAAGTGCAAAACTTGGCTGAAACAAGGCCAGGATCCACTCAACCCCGTCTCTCCCCCTCTCTCCGGTCTGACCAACGCTCTCTCCTCAGAAGGGTTTGATGTCGGCTGCACAGCCAAGAGATTCTGCAGCACAAATATTTATATAATGCAGAAAGGGTTGTGACAAAGTGAGCAATAGGAACTCCACAGGAGAGAGTGCTCGAGGGTTACCCCCGGGCTAATCTCCACTAAGACATATTTATAAACCTAGCTAGCAGTTAGCGTGGACCGCTTCCAGCTTCGTCACCAAGACGCTAACTGTATTTGTTCAGCGACTGCACAGCCGAGGCCCACTTCAATGACGTCGTTAACCAGTGTAATATTTGCATGGCACATAAACATATGGTTATACTTCAGACTTTCATTTGATTTGCGCTCGCATAATAGTTTCCATGTGTAGGGGCAGCGGCATGCGTCTCTCTGTGCTACATTTCACTTTTGTTTTAGCTCCGTGCCAGAGCTCAGAATTTCATCTGACACCGCCGTCAACTGAAAATAAAGCCGTGGAATAAAAAACACCAGAGAGTGTTTTTTGAATCTATGTTTTCTGTGCACGTCAACCAGGGTTGTGTTGCCTTTTGTGTTCGAGAGTGACAGAAGTTGCCATGTAACATCCATTAATAAAACGTACACAAGCAAATGTATCTGTTTATCTGTTATCAGTAGTATACTGTAATCTACAACAACAGTGTAATACTGTAAACATTATTACAGTACTGTGCTGTATAGAAAAGCCATTAAACTGTTATTTTAGTGTTCCTACTGTAATCTACAACAACAGTTTAATGCGGTAAAATGTATTAAAGTACTGTAGAATGTGATATGTTCAGTATAACACTGCTAGAAGCTAATCATTTAGGACTCCAATGGCCACCTTTTCACTTAAAAGGCTTCAGCTGGCATTACATGGTTTACACCACTAATGTTTAATACTCCATCTCCCAGCCATGGAGACCCATCCCCCCCCCCTGCAAGGACCCCTTTAACCCCTCCACCCCCTGCTCAGTGGCATTCCAGCTTGCCAGATGGTGTCTGCTCTGGAGAGAGAGAGAGAGAGAGAGAGAGAGAGAGAGAGAGAGAGAACCCCACCAGCAGGATTCACCGGATGAGACATTCCACTCACCCTGCCTCACCCCGCCCCTAATGTCGCCCTCTCTGTTCAGTGTTGTCTGTAGCCCACAGGCGGGCCACTCCGGGGATGAAGTCCATGTTGATAAGTTGTTGACAAGCGGGAAAATCGCATTAGATGGTTTCTATGGACAGACGGCTCTGTAGTTTCACTGTAGAGAGTCACAGAAGAAATCCCTCGTTTCTGTGTTCAGGCCGGAACTCAAAGCACCGTCACAACATCTATGTAAATACGTTATCATGAGTGGAATGATTGTTGTCGTGCATTGTTATTCAGGAACTAGTAAAAGAAATGCTGGCCGTACACAGAGAAGAGGAAACGTGCATTGAACAAAACATCAGTTCTACTCAAAGTAACTGGCCTCCAATAGTTGAAACGGCTTTGATTGAGTGCAGCGACGATTGTCTCGGTCAGTTTGCACATTTTTTCACACCTTCATTCAAAAATCGGCAAATGTAATGCCCTCGTAGTGTTGCTTGAGTGAGGCAATGCTTTCTGTATGTGAGAGTGCAACAAAGGGTAGCAAGCGGTGTGGGGGTAGGTGCTTTAACTTTAGCTACTACAGTACCGGTACATCTGCCCCATTTAAAAAGAAAACTGCGCGGGTGTTAGTTGCTGGCCCACATTAACTCCAACGTAGCACACTGTGTTGTGTATGTGCGAGTATGCGTGCATACATGATCCCCTAGCAAGATAAAGCCCCATAAACCCCACCCTTCCCTTCCCTTCCCTCTCCACACTCCAGCTTCCATGATTGCAGCCTTGTTGTGTGTGTGTGTCTGTCTGTATTTCTGTCAGCCTGTTATTGTGATCCTCCGGTTGCGTGTCGGTGTGCACTGCGGTGTGTGTGTGTGTGTGTGTGTGTGTGTGTTTCTGTGCGAGTTTGCTTGTTTGCCTTCCCATACGTCACATTTTAATGGCTCCTTTGAATGTGGTCAACAGAAAGCCGGAAGGCTTGGACAAAGAGCTAGCCTGTAAAAAAAAAAAAATGCAAAATAGAGGAAAACACAGATGCTCCTCTCTGTTGAATGTCATTGCTTTACTGCGTTTGATTGACGTGCGCTGCCGTTGTACCCCCATGACAAAGATCTCGAGGAGGAGAAAGCAGCACACTTTCTTTGCCCGGTGACAATGGTAGCTCCACCTCGAGCAGGTCAGTACAGTTTTTATAGTGTCGGTTACTTAGGCAGAGCAGAGCGCAGGCATGAGTACCCAGGGGGTTGTTATGTCAACTGCCTCTCGGGTGACTGGCTACAGTC